TATGAAGATAAACATCTGTCAACATCTAGTATATACAGGCAAAGATGCCCTGTAACATTTGCTGACATAGAAAGGTTGGCCCTTAGCTGCAGCTCTTTCTCCTTATAAGAACACATTATTCTCCACAGCCTCTTAGAAACAATGTAAATGTGCTCTCTGACATGTACTATACGCTTTCCTCATTCAGAAACTAAGCCCTGGATAAGGAAAATCTGAGACTAAGGGTGAATCTGAGTCAAGAAGCTGTTTCTAGAAAGCAGCCTGCACTGTAAGGTTTCTTGAGGATACTGGGCATGTAGTCCTTTCCTCAGACAGTGAAGGAAGGGGACTTCTGCTTGGGTTTGTGCTCATAGGAAACTGGATGTGTGGTCAGGACTTCCACAATGAAGTGTTTAGAAGAGGATAATAAGAGGTTAAGGAAGATATTAAAAAGTTTGAAGAACACTTTAATATTATAAACCAAAATCTAAAGGTCAGAGCAAGAAAAGTAGCAGGGTCTCTGACACCATCATAGGGACCAAATTTAATAGGACTAGACGCCACAAAAACTTGAGCACCAAAAGTCTAAGTTTATCTCAGGTGAAGGCTCTTTGAGTCCTGCTTCCTGAGGTTAATCTGTCCTGAGATTTTTGTTTTGTTGCATTTTTTGTTTCTTTCACAGCAGAAGGAAAACATTATAGTTCAATATCTTAGATATCAACAACACAAATATTACAGGAAAATTCAATCACATAAAACAGAGAACTGAAGAAGCCACTTCAGCTGACATCCAAACAGGGAAGCCACTACTTCAGTTTTCCAATGGTTTGGATAGAAATCACAGTCCAGCTGGTGACACCTCACTTAGCTGTTAAATTTAGTGTACAATTATTATCAATTATCTAATATCCCTAAGAACACAGGGAAAGCTCTCTGTAAGTCAGCAGAGCTGCACTCAGAGCTTACTGCATCTATAAACATCTCTTGCAGTCAGCACAACTATAAACTCATAAGCATACTGGCTTTGAGGGGGATCATAAAGTGCAAAGCACTTCAGAGTTTTTGACAAAACAAATTACCTTTGCTAAACTCTGTGAGCAGAAAAAGGTAGAATATCTGAGTTCTCAGTGTCAAACAGCTTTCAGTGCTGACATTTACACAACCAACAAGATGGGCAGATGCAGACTACTTCCTTGTAACCCAACACAAAACTTTTGCTAGATCATACCTCTTCATTGTAATACTTATGAAGTTCAGAAGCATTATATCAGTAAATCATGGTTTCATGCCACTTTCTGTAAGATTGCATACCTTCTGGAGGGATGCATCTTCAATTTTGAGGCTCTGGAGGTAGCCCTTATATTCTAGCTCAGAAGCCTGTGGGGGATTTATGAATACTTCACACTTGTTTAGTGAGGCTTACATTGTAAACAATGTAAACAGTTCTTGTTCATGAAATCCTGAAGCACCTTCAATAAAGCTGATGGAACCTTGATGATGAATTCGAGGCACACATACACACAGAATAATCCGTCCCTGTTTTCTCCCAATTTCTTCATTCTCCCAGTGCATTCAGAACTGACAGTCAAGACACCTGACTCAGCTCGGCATGGGCACAGGCTGCTCAGAGAAGCTGTGCATGCTGCACTCCTGGAGGCTCTGAAGACAGTTCAGATGAAGTCTTGGGCAGCCTGATCTGGTGGGTGGCAGCTCTGCTGCCATCAGGAGTTTGGAATCAGATGGTCTGTAAGGTCCCTTCCAATCTAAGCCATTCCATAATTTTGTGGTAAGATCAATGTTATTATCTTGATTTTTTTTTTTTAATCTAAAAATCCCATTTACAAGAAGAAAAAAAATGACACAAAACCAACATTTTAAGATGGAATTTAACAGTATTATCTAATTCACAAGCTCCTGCAAAAGGAAATGAAGTATGCAGGAGTCAATGTTCAATGTGCAATGTTCTCACTTACAACCAACAGGAACAGTGGCTTTCTCTTTCAAACATCCATGTTCCTATCAGTGTTTATTCAGACATACTTCACATTGAACATAAACTTTAATATGGTAAAGATTAATTTCATTTCCACAAAAATGTCTGCATCTACAGCATGTGCCTTTGCAAATCTTTACAATCTAAACTGGAATACTTTGGATTTTGGAATCATTCTGCTGTTAGGCAGACTTCTTCAAACTTGGATCTACAAAAGCAATTGATCTACGAAGACTCTTTTGTATCAACCAATTTATCTGAGCTACAAAAACTTGGAGAGTGCAGCTGTTGGTTGCAATACTCTTCTTACATTAGCCTTCACTGTTGATGAATTTGGTTATCTAGCAAGGGACTACTTTGGCAAGAAGCAGTAGATACACTGGAGTAAGCTCCATTTTGTACTTCTGCTGCTTCTTACACATCCTCATTTGGTCACTGCCAAAGTCCTACTCCTGGGCTGGGAAACACCTTGGCAGGATGGATGTTTCAAAGTGCAGAGCTATTTTAACCCTTCACTCCTGAAAGCATTTAACTTCTTCAAATTCTTACTCATGTGTGTTTTAATTCTTCATGCTCCTTTCCTCTCTTTTTTTTCCCCCCCTTCTCATTTCTCCATTTTATGTTTCACAAATTTGCTTTGCGAAAGGAAAGAACTGCTAAGGTACTTGTGACAGTGTGACCATGTTAATGGCACTGGCTCCTAGAGCTTTGAAGTTTTCACTCCAGATTATACTGTGAAGAACAGATTAGGAAGGATAATCATCCAGAAATTTATCTCATAGCATGTCTTTGGTCAGTAAATACTGAATGCAGTGCTAACAAGTACTTATGGCTTTGCTCCCATTACTTGACATGGTAATAAACAGTTCACATTGAAGTGACTCGCAGCCTTTTTGAGTGTAGGTAGGCAGCAGCAATTCAGCACTCTCACTTAAAAGATGAAATTAAGCTGTCAGAAATATCATCTCTGTGCCAGAACTTACAAGGAAGCTCACTGACAGCAATCTTCATTTTTTTTTGCTCTTCTCACTTGCCCTGTGCTAACAGGGTTTTGCCTTCATTTTTGCACCTCAAGTTAAATAGTTGCTGAATTTAACTTATTTATAAAAATTAGTATGGACAAATTAGCTCCTACTAATGTGCTAGCAATCCTGAGATTACTGACAAACCTAGAGTTACCAGTCAGAGAGGCAAGTAGTCTGAATGGGAGAGAAATGCAATACAGAGCAACTTCAACTTTTGGACCTTGTTACCCACACCTGAGAAACTAATAAATATTATGCTGTAAAAAGCTGATGGAGGAGAACAGAAGCAGCTCTGTGTTATAAAGAACTGTAGACACGGAAAACATAGATGTGCCAATTATTCTTGGTGCAACACAGATTAAATTTTGAATAGTTTAAAATCACCATCTATGTTTTAAGATATCCTGAAAAACTGCCATTACATAGACTATTTTTTTTTCCAGTGGAATTTAAGATTAATTAAGATGTAGCTATCATATATTAAGTAACAATAAGGTGTTTGAGGTTGTAGAAGAAACTCTCCCAACTCAAACCTGATTCCTCTTAAACAAACCCCAGGTCTACACAGAAAACAGACAGACAATCCAGTTTACACATGAGGTGAAAAGTTGTGAGTTCTCAATAGACACAAAAAGAAATCTCTGATATGCATTTACATCAGAGGATCATGCAGTCCTTTTTCAGATGCAGTACTCTGTAGGAGACAGCTTTCACCACAGAGGAAATTTCCAAGAGTTGAGTTCATCTGTTTCTCTATTGGTTGAGACATCAGAGATCACTCTATTACACATATTTAATACACAGGCCAACCCTTTTATGTATTAAGTCCACTACTATTGAAATGACTACACTGTAGTCTTCTTCCAGAAAAATACTTTCCTATCTACATATTAAAAATATTCGTACACAGGCATCACTTCAAGTTTATATTCATTTGCAAAGGCTGTGGCAGGGGAAAAGACCTTGGAAGTTTCTGACTTTCCTATCTTGACTAGTACTCAGGAAAGGTGCTGTATCTGTCTGCTACCACCTGCTGAAACATTTCCTGGCAATTAGCAGTAGCTTCATTCTTCTTTTGGTTCCCCATACCAATACACACTAAAGAAATCTGGATTCTTAAGTCATCGGAACTATTTAAAAACTAGGTCTTTTCACTCAAGGATAAACATGTAGGCACAGTTCTGCACTGTGCAAACACTTACTGTCTTATTGTAAGTCAAAGAGCTGCCCTGAGTTTACAAAATAAACTCAGAACAACATGTACAGGCTTTTGGGGGTTAAAAGCAGAGTATAGTACTAGGTCAGGGAAACAGGCAGAAGCATAGATCTTCCTAACTCTCTGGAGGAACAAACAATAAGGGCTTCAGTTGAGATGAAACTTTATGTACTTATTATTCAGTCCTACCTACTTCTCCCATTACTAGAAACTCCCTTGTGGTCATAGCAAGGTTGCAGCAGCCAGTGACCCCAGAAAAGGATGACCAGCTTTAATAATCAGTCATTTGGCCTGAGACGAGCGGAGGCCACATACTGACTGGTCACAAGTTAGGAAACTGTAAGGTCTTAAGAACCTCAGAATGACTCATCACACTTGAAAATAAGTTTCCATGAATTTTCAGGCATGTAGTGAGAAGCATCCCCTGGAAGGCCTTCCTGCCCAATAAGAATTATGCTCTACTTCAGCAATGTCCTCATTTAAAAGTATTTGCTTCTGTTTACTTCAGCTGCAGAGAGATACTGCCATTCTGATACAATTTAATGCATGCCCAGTAAAGTTCTGGAAGTAACAGTAAGAAAATAAAGCAAGCAAGATGGTAGGAAGCACCACTGCTCTGTTTTCATGCTCTCATACCGCGTAGGTAACATATTCTGTGTACCTTTTCCATAGAACATTTGCTATGGTGATAAACTCCTGCATATCATCAAACAGCAGTAACGCAAAAATGACAAGAAAAGCAGATGTTGAAGTAGCACAGAAATGCAGCCAGTGTCCAAAATCTCACCTTTCAGAGTTGCTTTCTTAAGTACCTTCATGGCATACAGCTGGCCTGCATCAGATCCTTTGATCTTCCTCACTAGAAATACCTGTAAAAAGAACAGTTTGTGTAAATGGGTACCAAGCTTTTATTTATGAACCTTGCAGCATTTGATAGGGAAACATATACTAAATTTCGGGAATTCCAATGAAAATTTCTGGCCAAAAGCATTTTATATATTTCACCTGCAATTGGTTGAGCTCGTTCTGGAAAGCTTCTGTTTTAAGCCTTCACTTTCTGACAGCTTTTCAGTATTACTAATAGCCCTTTAAGATTCAGTTAAAGATGGTGAGTAGTCATAAACAATGTGTGCACATTTCTACACATTATGAACAGCTTTACATGAAAAAGGTGATGTCTTGCTTGAGCTTAGGAATACAGAATTTAAAAAAAAAAATTATTTTCAGCAATTAAATTAAGAAGGAAAAAAAGGTGTAGCTTCTGTCATAAATCATGAAAGACGACTAACGTAAAAAGTAAGGGAAGCAGAAAAGTTTTTACAGCTGGAAGTTTGCTCAGGCATACTTAAGAAAAGGTAGGAAAATTTGATAGGTTATTATAATAAAGACATCTTTCCTTGTTACAATGTCCTATGTTACAACTTTTGACAGTGTAAATTTTTAATTGGAATAAAATAAATTGTAGATAAAATTTTGATTTTTTTGTTGTTGGTTTTTTTGTTTGTTTGTTTAACTCCATGAGACTATTCTTATCTGACTCTGAGTTAGTCTGAACACGAGGACAACAGAAAACCATAACTTAGTTCAGTCTTTATAGGATGCTCAGTATTTTAATATTTGAAAATAAGTCAATATTTTAGTTGATTCTCAGGACACACTGTTTGCAGAGGTCAGAAACATGACAGCAGGGGCTCAACTGTTATTTCAGCACCTTTACTACTGGACAGAAGTGGAAGTAAAGCCAAATACAAAAAAGCACTGCAAAGCCCACATACGTAACATATACGTATAAATACATGAATTAAAGTCTAAATGAAATTATTTTACTCTAGAACGTCTACTTGGATTGCAAAAATCTGTGGCAACTATTTTAATTCATCATTTATTCATGAACCACACAGCCTTGCAAATTGCCTTCATCCAAAACATGAAAAGTCAAAAAAAGAAAGGAGGAAGTCTATTTCTAGCACATTATTTGCAAGTTGAAATACACTTCCTTCTAAAAAAAAGAAAAAAAAAAAAAAAAAAAAAGAAAGAAAAAAAAACTCAAACTGTAAAAAACCTACAATTTTCTCAAGCACTCTCTGAGAAAAAGGTTTGTGGGAGAAGATAACTTTTAATAACCATCCAGAGAAGCTGAAGGAAAAATAAGTAAATTTTTTCTCTGAACACCTTAACCAGAGCTCTTACATCTGCACAACATCACACTTCTGCTATACGATCTGATACATTTTTGGTGAGGCTTTCATTCTCAAGATGTTTCCTGTGCATGTGAGATATGTACAGCTCTACAGCTAAGCTCCCCTAACTCACTGAGATTGGGCAGATGTTGCTGATTCCTGTCTCCTGTTTCCTAGTTTGAAGAACATGCAAGTACCTCTGGTACTCACAACTGCAGAAACAAATATGAAATCTGGAATGCAACAGGAACATGTAAGAATTTCTGAAGTGCTTTCATTAACGTTCATAATAAATTAAGCTCAGCTGCTCCAATAATTAATATTAGCAGGAAGTCAATTCATTTAGAAGTTCAGATAGAAAGAGAAATATTAGGATATTTTTCCACCCAGTCCAAGTCAAAGGTTTAATTTTTGCATTGCTTTATAGGGGAAGAAAAATCTAAAAGTAGTTTTGCCAAAACGCTGGATTTTTAGCATTATTGTTATTGTGCAAAAATGGATATGGATTTATTTCTGAAGAAGAAAAAAAAAGAAAAAAGAAAGAAAATGCTAAATCTCAAAATTTATATTATCTCTTTATATTAGCTTTAAAATAATAATTTACCAGAATTGTATGGGCATATTCCTGAGCAGAATTTCCACTTTCTGGTATGATTTGCATGAAAACACCCTAGGTTATAAGCAAATGTGTTGATAGAATGAGCAAGAGTCCTTTAGCTGGAGTACTGAGTACAACACCCAAATCCCAATCCAGAAACCTAAGCAAGTGCTGTGACTTTCATCAGTGCTGAGTGTACTCCCTCTGAAACCAAAGACATTTTTTTTTAATTCTGCAGGAAATGATGTAGGTCTCAGGTGAACAACTTGAAAAACAGCTCTGCATCCCCAGAGACTTACAGATTTGAGCTATCAGCTGAAATGCTGAAGTGATGAAAATTTACAGACTGCATAAAAATTTCCAATCAGACTTCATTCCTCTGTGTCTATGATGATTTTGTGAACTTACTGACCAATTTCACATAAGATACTAAAGTGTCTTACAATTACACAACTCCAGACAGGTCTAATATCCGCAGTCATGTACTGATCCTGCAGCAAATCAAGGGAATGTGTCACAGAAACCTGATCTCATTTTAGGAAGTGGTAGCAGAGGCTAGACATTTCAATTATACAGTGCCTGAAGCTAGAATGCCGAATTTGACAGTTAATAATGAAATACGTCAGTACAATCTAAGACATTCAAAACCCAAATATCATTACAGTGCTCTTAAGCAGTTCTCTAGATCAAAACTTGGTATTGAATGCTAATTTTTTTGATGTCTTTCATCTCAGGGATCTTTTAACAACCTTACTTATCAGCATAATTCTGGAATACTCAGAAAGCTACTAAATACATTCCAAATAGCTTTTTTTTTTTCCCTCATGAATGAAACTGAGGATCGTGGCTTATTGTCATGGTTCTCAGCTTTTGCTAGGAAGGACCTCAATAGATTTTAGGTACGAATCAGTGCTTCAAGTTAGCTGGAATGATCCATTCCAGCTGAATGGATCATTCTGAAATGATCATTCTGAATGGATCATTCTCTGAAATACTTATGAAATAGACTAAAATTTAAAAAGCACTGAAAATGATAAGGACTTCCATGTTCGGTGTAAACTAGGCTCACCTTTCCACAGGTTTCAAAGGCTTATTTAGTTAAACCATGGAAAGAATTTAATGATGAACTGATGAATCTCCCTTCTTTCTCTCAATTTTTTCTTCCTATTCTCATTTGCAAATGACACATCCTTTTGAAAAAGAATTGCCTCTGGGATTGAGAAAAGCCTTGGACTTAAGATAAAAATGTTGTTTCTCAATAGCTTGTTATACATCTAGAGAATTTTTTTTAATACACATGCTTTATGTATACAGTATGCATACATATACACTTTATAGTCACTTGGCAGTGAAACATATAAGGAAAAACAGCTTGGTTATAGGTGTCAAAACTCAAAATAAAGACACTGCGATGAAAATTAAGTGCTTAGCATCTAGGCCTAAGAAAGCAGCTTTTCTTACAAAAGCAATGTGAGATAACAAGCAGGGTGAAAGACGGGGGCTTTGAAATATGCTTGTGATCACATCTGCCCTCAGCAGAAACTGGGAAGCAAACTTCTTTTAAGCTTATCAGTGTTCCTACAACTGAGCAGCAGTAGCACGCTTACTTAACTAGTGGATAGGTTAGAAAGAGGGAAAGGAGTATAACTTTATAAACAATGCTTTTCACTATCCCTGCTTACTTCTGTTCCTTAGACTATAACCAGAGCCAGAAATGTTATTTTCTAAACTGTTCTATATACAGAATTCCAGCAAAGGACAGACAGATTATTAAAATGAAGGCAGAAGAGGCTTATCTGCCTTTACAATACAATATGTATGGGCAGTGTTGTCAGTGCACATGAACTCAGAGAAAGAACACAGCATTTTCAGTCTTGCTCTAAGTGATTAGATGGCATTAAAAATTACCTTTCCATATGAACCTTGTCCTAATACTTTCAGCAGCTCAAATTGAGAAGGATCTGCTTTTTCAAAACCTTCCTTCACATGGTGACTGATGTCTATTTCCTTCACAATACCTTCTTCCTGTAAAGGAAACAACAAAAAACATCATTGCCAAATCAGAACCATTATTCTAAGGAAACATACTGTTAATTAAAATCTCATCTTGTGCAATGCTATAATCATAGACGAAATTTGGAAAATATAAGCAAATATTTGTTCAAATATACCATGTGCCTCTTGCAGGGTAATGGATGGGATATCAGGACGTCCTCCTTTTTATCAATCTCAAGATTATGTCTAAATAAAGGTATAGCAAACTGAAACAGAGATATACCACAGAGCTCAGTGCTCATCACAGACCTTGCTAACATAGTGTCATGTTCCCACATCAGTGGTACAGAGGATCCAGCACACTTCTTTCCACATACTTTCTCATTCCTGCTCAAAGCATCACTTTCAGAATTCAAAGCATCACTTTCAGAATTCAAAGCATCACTTTAAGAATTCATCTTAAAAAGCGAAGATCACTTTAGTCTGAAGCAGTAATTGTTATGAGTAGACCACAAAGGAAAGGCATTGTTAAAAGTACATCTTCCAATTTACTTGACGAATGGAAGATTACTACCAGAATCCTTCTAAACAGAAAACAAATTCAAGATTTAGATGTGAAAGCAAGGTGGTAGGAAGAAGAATGGCAAACATAAGAGACAGCTGTACAAGGACTTTTATCTCTTTAGCTGTAACAAGAGATATTTGATTTAGTTGCTTGTGTATTGTTATTATGGCATGATCCTCTAAAAAGAGGGTGACTGGGTTATGGGAGAGCCAAAGGGATTACACTGAGTTTGCAGCAACCCAGAAAATCATTGAGCTGAAGAGAAACCTGAAAGAAATATCTTCTCTTCAAGGACACAGTGGTGATGGAAGATATTTTTTATATACCTTCTTATTTCTGAAGTGTTCTGTACACCTACATTTGAGGGTGCTTTCCTATTAAAAATAGATGTTCTAATTTCTCAACAACTAAAGCATGGATTTTTAGTATAAAATTTATTTTGTTTAGTTTCCCAGATCGAGGGGAATTGCTCATTTAGGAATAGGTTTAAATATTTATGCATCTACTAAAATTCATTAGAATCTTTGAAACGTTACTTTTAGTTTGAATTTTGCTGTAATTCTTGTTTCGTTTTTTTTCTTTCCTCAAGAAGAGACATTGATATATAACATATGTGTAAAGTTTTTCTCTCTTCTTAAACTATGTGTAGTAAAAAACAGAAATAATAACCTAAAATGAAAATGCATTCGTAAACATATTTGGCCAAAACATGTTTATTTACTAAACAAAATAGATGTTAATTCGTTCACTCCATTCATCTCTTCTCCAAGAAAACTGCTGTCACTTTCTAGCAGCTATAATAACTCATCTGATGCATGGCTAGCATCACTCTGACTGGACTACATGCTGCAGTTTCTTCCCTCTTCTTTTTTCCCTTCCTCTTTACATTCATGTGCTCTGGGACAGGGACTGTATCCTCTTCTTGGTTTGGAACGCTTCCTGTACTTTGTGTATGCTGCCAGAATCATAGAATACAATCATCATCTGACAGCAACTAGTTTTTCTGATCCTAATTTCTCTAGTTTAAGTGATTTGCATGAAATGAAATGCTTGAAACCAACAACCAGTCTTCACAGAGAGATTTAAAACTTTTCTAACAGTACATAACTGCCAAGAGCCTCTTGTTTTTCTGGCTTTAATTATTGTGGGGAATACAGTATCTTTCTGATTAAAAAAAACCCATATATACATACATCATTTCATTTTTCTTCTATATGAAAGAAACAATAATAAACTAGAATAAACTTGCAAAAACACTGTTTCTTATGGAACTACCCACATGGAGCAATCAGAGTCATCATCAAGTCCTGAAGTGGTGAGCTTTCATACCAAGGGACCTGCATTTTTACATGAACTGCCAGCAGCTGAGAAGCATGCATACTGTTAAGAATCTTATTTTGAGATAAGCCTGTTCTGCTATACTACAGCTTTGGTAAAGTATCTGTGCTACATGGCTCACCAGCCACTGTACTCACAAACAATTATTCCCCATATAGTCAGGCTCCTGCCCTGATTTATCATCCTTTACTCTGTACACTAGACCTTGTATGCTTGGGAGTTCTTTCTTCACTGACCATAAACAGATTCTGAGAAGAGTGGCTTCCACAGGCCAGCATCTGTGTGCATACACCTCTTAAGAACTATGAAATAATGAAAATATCGAATGACTTCTTTCTCAAGTCAGGACAGCTTAAGCACACTCAGTCACCATTTCAGGATTTTGCCCATCCCTGTTTGTCCAGAAGCACAGCACAGCAAGGACCATCCCTCAGAACAAGGTGAAATATGAGGCGGATATAAAATTTACCATATATTTGGGCTGCAAAGCTCTGAAGAAAGAAAGACCAACCTCAGTTTTATACACATCATCTTCCTCAGATTTACTTCTACTTTGATCTAACATCTCAGACTCAAAATTTGTGATTGAAATCTACTGCCTGAAGAGAACATCAAATCCATTCATTTCTGTGAGGTGCATTTCAGCCTGAACCATTCAGTCATTTCAGCTATGTTTGCAGGTTTAAATGATGAGTGAGTTTCGATTGATCCATTAAGATTAGTCATCAAAGCCACAGGTCTACAACCATAAGCATATTTCCCATTGTGTTATTAAATTTAAAATAACCTTGTTCTTTCAGTGTGTTAAGTTACAGGAATATCTCGGGAGTATTAAGATGATGAATTCAAGCCTTCCCAGAGAACAGCATAATTATTTCATAACTTACAATAAGAACAATACTTTAATTACATGCATATTTAATTAAATCTCAAAAAACGTACATATTTCGAAAACAACAGGACCACATACAAGGCTGCATAGTGTTTTACCACTGCATTCATTTTAAAGAGGGAAAAAGGCTGTAAGAATATGGTTCAAAGAATCATAAAAATGTTGGTTAGAAGAAACTTCTGGAGGTCATCTGGCCCAACACTCCTGCTCAGACTACCACTGACCCTTAATTAGGCTGGCTGGGTTTTGTCCACTGTAGCTCTGAGTACCTCAAACAATGAGGCTTGAGCCACTTCCTATGAAAGATTATTCTTCTTCAATTTGACTGGCACAGAAATGCCCACGGTCATGTCAAGCTACCTTCTCCAAGGGTTTTTAGGAGGAAGCAGGATGTTTATCTAGGAAGGCAGGATTTCCTGTGGATTTCCAGTGGTCTTCTCACTAGGAAGGGGCAACAAAGCAGCACTAAAGAAAAACGTGCCAGACTGCTCCTTTGTCCATCAATCACCACTACAGTGGCATTGCTTGTGAGCTGCCAGGGGACAGCTGGTATTTTTAGTTGGTATGACAAATCCCCACCTCCCACTGGAGCAAAAAGCAAAGTTTCCAGTATTTAAGACTGAACACGGACACAGTCCCTTTAAGGAAATATATTTCTGGCTCTCTGACACTGGGCTGAGGTATTTTAAGTTCAGCCACTTACAAGACTCCAGCAGTAAAACAGCCAAGGCTGAAAACTATCAATTTTCCCACCAACATCAGAAGATGCTGAATGCCTTTACTGCCACTCAGAATCAATGGAGCAACCATACTACCACAAGCTTAACCATTTGCACTAAGTGACCATCAACACCAGGCATTTCTATTTTTCACTGAAGCATCATCATGAAGATAGTCTTGCTAGACCTACTCAGGAAATATAATCTTCTGGAACTACACAGTAGGAAAGAGTGAAAGTTAATTGGAAATACGCAAGATGAAGCACTGGTCTTAGAAATGCTCTTGACTGAGTTTCTGCATGGCATGCAAATATTCTACATAAAGAATCATGTCAATCTGAATTAGGGAAAGGGAACATGTTCTCAAAGAGATGGTAACTTGGAGTGGTTAGAATTTAGATAGGCAGGTATAATATTAACAAGCAGGACCCAAGGTGTAAAGGTACCTAAAGGTACCCTAACTAGTCTTACAATGCTTAGCTCATTCCTCAGCTGCTCAGTGGCTTTGTATAGATTTCCACAACATAAGCAGCAGCAAGAAAATTATCACTGATATTTGTCTAGAGTTATCCAAGTAGTTCAGCTAAGGATTTTTTGTTCTTGCCTAGAAACCAATGCTGTGAGTAAAGACTGCAGAAGAATCCAAGGATTATCAGTGCCAGGCCGTGGATTTCCTTGTATGTGTTCAACATTCTCGTGGCTTATTTGGCTGCATAAATTTTGGAATGACTTCTGCTTGTTTCTTTTACCCTCCTAGAAAAACAAACATAGTTTTATGGTCCTGTTTTAATATTCTTGCTTGGATTTTCCCCTATCATTCCTCATGATGGAATGTGGGATAATTTTCCTATGGTACCAATGATTAGAATGAGAACTAAACCAACAGAGCACAAGTGCTGCGGGCAGATCTCCAGATATTTATGTTCTGAGCTGCATTTTTCAATTGCTTGGTCCAGCAAGCATAACTTATCTGCACTAATAATTTGCATTACAACAACAAAACTGAGGCAAAATATTTACGCTGCAGACAACAGTCAGACTTCTGTGCACAATATAAAGTAACTATTTCAGTGGAAAGAACTTCACTATGGAAAAAAAAATAAACAATCCATGTGTCAATCTCCAAAAAGGTTTTGATCAGTGAGTCAAAAATGAATGTTCCACAGTTTGGTCTGCAACAGCTGTGCACAGCAGCCTGGGCTCTTTCTCCCTGCTGACTTGTCCCAACACTGCATTAGCAGAAATGCTTGACTTGATGAGGTTTAATCTTTTGTAAACTACTGTAAATATTTATGCTTGCACAAAAAGCATCATCCTGTGACAAAAGTGAGACAGCTTCAAGGAAACATGTAGCTGAGCAGTACTGATGATGGGAGAGAGGTCAATGAACTGCAATACATGATGGAAGAAGAATGGAGAGCGATTCTCCATGCTAATTAATACAAGACAGACCAATTTGGAGCTATTTTCCATTATTCATTTAAGCACTCACCTGCACCCCAATTTAATAGAAATT